GTAACAAGCGAGGAAGCAAAATCAGTTTTATTCAACTTTGTTACTGCACCCCGTAAGAAAACACTGAAGCCTACTTTCTACCAAGTAGTTCTGCTAAATGCCATCAAAGTAAAAAAAAACCTTGAGGGCATTTTTGTTGCAGTATCTATATTTCAGGAATAAAACATGAAATGAGAAACTGTAACTTCATGCTCCAAAATAATTTAGGGCCACCAGGATGATCCAAGGGCTGGGAAGCCTCTCTCAGCTGTATGGGGATGGGCTGAGAGCTGGGTTTGTTCAGCCTGGAGCAAAGGAGGCTCAGAGGGGATCTCATCACCACGTACCAGTACCTAAGGGGGAGCTCCAAGGAGATGGAGACTCCCTTGTCACAAGGAGCCCCATGGAGAGGACAAGGGGGCATGGACACAAGTTGCTCTGGGGGAGATTCCCATTGGACATGAGAGGGAAGTTTTTCCCCATGAGAACAGTCACCCACTGGAATAATCTCCCCAGGGGAGGGGTTGGCTCCGCCACATTGGGCACTGCCAAGCCTCAGCTGGGCAGGGTGCTGGGCCATCTTGTCTAGGTTGGGCTGTGGCCCAGAAAGGCTGGGCCAGATGATCCTTGAGGTCCCTTCCAACCTGGGACTGTATGATTCGCTAGCACTCCCCCTTCGCAGAGATGCTCCCACAGCCATCCACTTAAAGATGTGGAAGGAGGCGCGGATGGCGGAAGCAGGAAGATTATATTCCCGTTCTCTGTTTATATCGTATCACCTAGCATTAGGCCAACACTGCTGCTTGCGGTACGACATAATATACTATGCGCCCATAAACATTTTTGCAAACACTCAAGCTCCTTAAAACACTGGAAGGACAAGTGGAGGGGAAGCACTTGCCTTGCGTGCCGACGATCTCCATGTGGAGGTGCGCCAGGCCGCTGGCCACCGACAGCGCCAGCTTGACCATGCCCTCCACCGTCACCGTGCCTCTGTTCAGGTAGTCAAACAGGGACCCTTGCTCGTGGTACTCCGAGACCAGCCAGAGCTGAGTCCACGTCCCGTTATCTACCCGGAGGAAGCAAGATTATTCAGATTTATGAAAAAAATGAGTCAGGAAAAGCCTTCCCCGACCCGCGGCCGGCTCAGGCATGCAAACGAAGGAGTTTGCTGCCAGCCCCGCCGGGAAGGGCCCGGGACAGCTCCGGGGTTCAGAGCGGGGTTTCGGATGGGAGCAGGGGCAGCAGAAGCGATTCCGAGACACGACCCGCAGCATACCCTTGTTATCAGCGGCGATAAAGCCCAGGATGTTTTCGTGCCTCAGCATAACCGTCTGATAAATTTCTGCCTCCCGAAACCAGGACCGCTCGTCTCTGGAGGAGAAGATTTTCACAGCTACATCTTCTCCGCACCATTTTCCACGCCAGACTTCGCCAAATCGGCCTTTCCCTATGATTTCCTGCAGGACGATAGTCCTTGCGATCGTCCTTTGTACGAGCAGAGGCAGACCTGGTTTAAAAAGCAGAGGCAGATATTTGAAATAGTTCACCGGTGATTTTCAAACCACAAAGTTAAGAGATTTCCCAGCAAGCTGTACTTTGCTATTCTGTTGACAAAGGAAAAAAGCCCAGCAGCAGCCAACATGTAAAAAGCCGCAATCGGTGGCGATAACCGTGCCCCGGGAAATGCCGGGGCCGGACCTCAGCCCTGCCCGTCCCCACGCCAGGCATCGCCTGCCGTGTCCTTGGCCGCACCGTGCCCGCCAGCCCTGCCCGACGCCAGTTCGCCCGGCCCCCACGGCTCCCAGCAACCGCAGCATGCGTATGTTTTCCAGCAAGGCCAGGAGACCCATAAGACTCAGGCACCTTTCTTCCCCCAAACTCTCCCTCCCTAATCCCACATGAATTTAAAAACCCTAAAAACCAATCAAAAAGCAGGCCTGAACCACTTAGTTTGGTTTGGTAGGGACTGCAGTTTGCTTGGCAGTCAATTAGTCGATCTGTTCTGGCTGAAATTTTCAAAAAGAAAAATAAATTCTGGCAGCAGCTTCATTTTGGGTGGCTGGCCAGAACCCCCTGCCTTGTCTGGCTTCACGCCATCGTTGTTGGGGACTTAAAGAATTCTTTTTATTTTTTTTTTTTTCAGATCAAGACAATCTTGCTTTTAACAGAGCAAAATAATCGGCAGAAAAAATTATCGTTCGAAGGTCAGGTTATTCAAATTTATTCAAATTTCCCCTCTAGTTTCCTCGCCAGAGCCCTCACACCTGCAGCCGCTGTCGCCTTACACGGCCAAGCCCCGAGCGGCCCCGGGCGGGGGAAGCAACCTCGCGGTTTGGCTGAAATGGAGCAAAGCGCCCGGGCGCACGCGAGGCTCCGACTGCCGCCGCCCTGGGGTCAGCCTAGGGTAAATAAAGCCAGAGTCTACTCGTCGTGCCTGTGAAAAACCGTTAGGGAAATACAATGAATTAATCCTGAAAGGTATGGAGTTTGTGGAAAATGAAGCAAATTAAATAAAGCACCATTTATAAATATTTTCCACTTGCAAATAAGAGTCAGCACGGGTTAGACATTCTTCGGGTGGGTGCAGAGGGCCGGGCTGTACCCCCCAGTGGGTGCACGTCAGCCCGCAATGCTTTGTCTCACACCTGAGACTGATTCTGAATTAACTTTTTTAACTCTTCCACCCAAACAAAGAATCGAACTTTTGCAATTTGGCAGAAAAAGAGCGGACAAAGCCCTATTGCTGCTGTAAGGTGTGGCCAAGTGTAATCGGCACGAAACCTCCCGTGACACAAAACTCGTCCCCAATGCAAAAGCCTCTGAGGTAGGACCCCCCCCCCGCGCCCTCTGCCTGGCAGGCGACGCTTCTCATCGCCGCACAAGCAAGGCGGCACGTTTGCGTTTGGTGTGAGCATCGAGAGAAC